GGCACATGGTCAACGCCTAATAAATGCTTGGTTATTGAATGGTTTGATAGACTAGCACTCGTATTTTTCTGAAATACCCATATTGTGTGGATCCTGTGAGGGTTATAATTCATAAATTTCTTCAAGAAAAAATATTTAGGATTTAACTGAAGTCAAAAGTGTTACTCTGCAAAAGGAAATAGTTTTCCTTTTGGTATACTTAAATACCTTATTGCCAATTAAATTGTTTATTCAAAGACAATAGGAACTTAGGATCTTTAGAAAATTAGTGTGAAAAGAAATGAATATTATATAACTGTAGGTACATAATTTTGAGGCACATGCCATGTCTCAGAGTATTTAGGGTGAAAAAAGACCAGATTCCGTTTACCGCAATTAATCATCTCTTTAGTTCAAACAGCCTTCATTTGAAAATTATAATAATGAAATACTCACCATTGTATTTAGAGGGGAAATTTTTCTATCTCAGATATTTTTTCTTTATGCAAAGCTTTTCCAAGCTATTTCACATATCCTTGATGTTTCTGAATTAGGAATTCAAATAATAATGAATTCTGTTTATTTTGGTTCTCCACAGAGGTTTTGTTGTTTGAGCTTAAAATAAAACTGCAGCTGATTTGTGTAACATATATTAACTGTTTGTTTAGTTTTAGTACATTTCTGTATCTCTCATTTCTGATCAACCTGAAAAATTTACACGCTGTGCAGCAGCCATCTTCTCCTATACTTTATTAAATATCTGTCAATTATAAATATCAAGGTTTTACATTAATGTCAAGATAGTGCATCAAAAATTCATGGAATATGTGACTTTTTCCAAGGGTATTTAATACTTAATGCATTTGTGTCATTTTTCTTTCTAGATATATTGACAGGTTTTATTAAGTGTTTGTTAGGGAGATTTTATTTTTATCAGGGGACTATAAAGAGAAGCTGCATGCTAAATCAATCTTTAAAATCAGGATATTCATTTTTTTTGTATCCTCAGATATTTGTAAACCATAGGTTTTAATGCAGATTTCTTCATACTTTTTATATGTTTAATATTCACAGCAGTGATCCAGTATAGAACTTAAATATGACTAAATATACCGACTTTATCTTGATCTCTTCAAACATAGCTAATAGAATCCAATATGGCAGGTTTTAAAAAATGTGTCTATTTGGTAATGTTTAGCTAGTTTTGATCTTTTTACTGAAATCTAACAGTTTTAGACATAATCATCACAAACATGTTAATTATGTTATATTAGATGTGGTAAATCTCTGGATGTCATAAGGAATAGTACCCAAAAAATGAGGAAAAAAGGAACCTTAAATATCCAGCAAGCTCTTTCTAATGCTTTGTCAACTCTAAGAAAATAGCCATATCTTTATTCTCCAGCTTCAAATTTTTATGTCACTAAACAATAAAAAAGAAACAAAACTAATCCTTGTAATATGGTAGAATTTTTCAGTCTTTTTTAATTCTTTCTTTTAATCTCTTGAAGATATTGTATTTGGGAATTTATTTTGGGTTCAAATTTGGCCACATATTGCTACCTACATTTGGAATGTCTTTGATGTCTACCTATAATAGTACCTTAGGTGAAAAACTATTTAGTGAACTCCTTTATCTCTTTAGTATATAGCTATTTACATATAGCTACATGTAGCTTATAATCACAGCTAACCTAGTTATTAGAGGGAAGACGGTTCCATGTTCCTGTTACATTTTTCTTTTTAATGCATAACTGTTCAAAGAATAGCTACCAAATGCAATAGCCCACAGTAGGAAGGAAAAAAGAAAACCTGCACAGAGTTTATCCTTGAGAATGAGAAATATTCAGGTCATGTCTTTTTTTGCAAAATAGTATCTAAAGGACTGAGCCAAGTACATTTCTGGAAAATCAGAGTCTCTGGAAATGAGTTATTAAGGATTTTTGAAGATATTTTCTTAATCTTTCACTAATATCTAGCAGTGAAAAGCCATAAGTTAAAATATTAATTCTCTCAAGACTTCAAAATAAAAGCTGTTTTGAATAGAAATGTCTTTATTTTTAAAATTTTTGTGTTAGATAAATGGAAAATTATTGATTACCCATAGTCTCCCAGGTTAGTTGCATCATTTTCATGGACAATCTTTTCACAGTCTTTGAAGAGTTAAAAAAAATCACCTTATCCTTAAATTAATTACATTTTATGAAGATAATAAAATTATTTTTTTCCTCAGTAACAGACACCTGAGCAGGTAGCCCTTTTGATTGCCATTATAAACCTAACTGTTATTTAAGTATGATGCCGAGAAAGTCTTGCCCTAGCATAGATGAATCATTTCATAGAAAAGATCTGACAACTAAACTCTATGATTATTACATCCTTTAGAAACATATCTCTACTCTACTGTAACTCCAGTAGGTGGCATTAGTGCCACAATAATGAGATCCTTTTCTAAATGGAAGTATTTGCCAACATCCAAGGTGTCAAATTTTGCCTCAATATAACTGTTAAGTTCATGTTCTGTGGCAAAATAGCTTTTTTTAAATGAAAGTTAAGAATAAGCATACAGTTTTATGTAACACTGTTTCTAAATATTAATGCAAATACTGTATTTTTACAACAATAATACCCTACAAAAATCAATCCGCAAAAATTCAGTTTTTTTCCTTCAGGAGCAAATTTACTAAATCTTTTCAAATAAATAACTATAAGCACCAGGCATGGAGATATTCTAGAGGTATTGGTTCTGAATTTGTGCAAAATCTGGTCCCCAGTTATTGCTTGGTTTTTGTGGAGTTCATTCTTTTTTTTATCATGGTAGTTCCTGCAGTTACCTTTGCTACTGTCCTGCGAAAAAACAGGATATGTTAAAAAAAAAAATCGGTGAGCATAGGGAGATTGCTACATAACTCAAAAAAACCCTCAGGGGTCCAATTTTGAGAATTGCCACAACATGTCATGCTTAATAAGTAAAACTGTTTTTTAAAATTTGCAGTAATTGTGACATATGGCATAGTATACAATATACTTTTAAAAAGCATATTGTAATGCTTGCAAGCAGCAAAAATTGAGCTTTCTTATTACTTTATTTTAAAAAGACGAGATTTGCAACATTACAAAAAGGTCTTTAAGTTATTAGTTTTGTGTGTTAAGGGGATAAGAAAATTTTTGGAATCAAATTCTTAAAGTTCCATTTTTTAAAAACTACTTGTCACTGATTAGATTCTAAATCATAGTCTTTCCCCAGTTTTAGTACTGTAAACAAAATGGGAAAGCTATGGTTTAACTGTTAAGTGTATAAAAATGTTTTTAGGAATAAAAGAATCTCATGCTCTGAAACTCAACCTCAAAAATCATCCATATTTGAAAAAAAATACAATTAAAAAGCTTCAGTTTTATTCCTAGGCTACGCATATTTTTACATCTTGTCAAACAGTGAGAACAACCATAATATAAATGTCAAGAAGTATCTCTGTAAGTGACCTATGCTTGTCTCAGCTATATATTAAATCAACAGAGATTTCATTTAATTTTTATTTTAATAACATATTTAAGTGCCTACTGTGTGCAAAGTACTGTGCTAGATGATGAATTTTCCTCATTTGGCAGATCTTTCAATCCTTGGTTAACAGTTGGAAGCTACTTGCCTAATTATGCTGTTTTGCATATTGACTTGAAATTTGTTTGCTTTATTTTCGTTTTTATAGCAATTTTAGTTTTGTATGAATATGTGACTATTTCTTTTTCTTCCAAAGGGTTAAAACAGGGCTGAAGACTGGAGGGGGTGGGGGGAAAGCAGGCACCTGGGAGCTAACACCCAATTGGCAGCCTTTTGTAATATATAATTTGCCTAAAATTGCGCACTGAGCACAAGCTTTTGTTTTCTAATTGATTTACGGTTTGAGCCACTTTTACCTCATCCCCTACTGTCCTGCACACGGTGCCAGCGAGTACATTACAGTGAGAGATGATAAATTACCATGCACTTGTGATGCTAATGCGTCAAGAGTAAAAACTGCATACTACATAGAGCTTCATGCATTAACAGTGGTGCAAAGATACAGCCAAGCAAAATTTCATTTGTAGCTCAGAAATAACCATTTGTTCATTTGATCACTTACTGCAATCTGTCTATCAGACTATAATTGAACTTGAAGATTGAAATTATACTGTTACAGCTTTTAATTTCTTAATTGAGGCAAAGTTTTAAAGTGCTTGAAAGGTCTAGAGTGAGGTGGGTGGCAGGGTGGGCAGAAAAGATATTAAATATATGATATACTCTCATAAGTGCTAGATTTTAGATATTTTACAAACTATTCTTTTGTCCAGAAAAGTGCAGTAAAATTTTTTAAAGACCTAAAGCTTTTATTTTAACTATAATATCTTTAGTCATTTTGGTATAATTTATTATCTCACATTTAATTATTTCTTGATATTGTATTTTTCTTGATTCTGGATACATGTGTGCGTATAAAATGCACTTGAACAGAACAGAAATGTTATTTCCCTCTAACCGATATAAGTCAGGGGTAAATGAAGGAACTTTCAATATTATTAGTGTCTTTGAATATTCCTTTTATTGGCATGAGAAAAGATTTGAAATAAATTGATAATACATACTTGAGCAGTAATGAATAAAGATGCAAGAGAGAGATAGGACAGTCACACTACTTTTGAAGCTTCGTGTTTTTACTGGATTAGACATTTATAGCACAATTATTCTCTACCTTTTGGAGAGTCAGTCCACCTTAAATTTTATTTTTGTGTGGTGTCTGTGGGTTCCAGTCTCGAAATATGAAGAAGCAGATTTATGGCGGCTGCTGGGCACAACAAATTAAGTTGACAGTGATGTATGAGAGCATAATAGCATGATGATCCCTCTGTAGCACGGCTGGACGCCTCCTGCTTCATTTGGCTCTTGTTAGGATCTGTTAGGCAGCTAAATAATGAAATTCTGCTGACTGATTTCTGTTTTCCCCTTTTTCTCCTTTCTCTCCTTTCTTAAAACTTCTAATTCCCAGACCCATCCTAATGCCAACAAACTGCCCTTGAAGGATTCTTTCACTTATGAGGACTACAGGTTGGTATGCTGTGTTTTCTAAGGTGGGGCTTTTCACATGAAATTTGGGGGTCTGAGAAAGAGAGGGAAATGCTTCAATAAGAAGTAAGCCTGCTGTGACCATTTAAAACATCATAACAGTGATACTCTTTCAGAAGTTATAATGAATAGAGTGGATAAGTATCAGTATTTTAATAGCCATGTAGAAATTGCCATTAGACTGGAGTGGAGGGGGATTAGTTTAGATAGCCAAATGGCACTTGAGATTAAGATTAGTGTGGTGGTCTGGAGGTTTTTTTTCTTTTTAAGTAGAATATTTTAGTGCAAAGTAGGGTCATCTTTTTTGAACAAAAAGACTTAAATCACTGTGCAGAAAATAATGTACACCACACGATGCAATTCTTAGAGGATTTCTGATCATAAAATAGTAATAGACTTTACTTTTCATTGAGGCTGAAATTGAAATAAGATGCAGAGTCAGCATTTGATGAAAAAGGAGGTTAGAGACTTTCTTTTTATAAGGAACGACGTGTTGTTTGTAATAAAGAGCCACCGCAAACCTTATTGGGCCCATTAATGCTAGCCTCACAGTACCCTGTTCCATTTCTAGCTGCCCTTTTTGTGGAAGCAAAACATATCCTTTCTCAACCCTTCACTTGCTGATTTCCTTTACTTCTGTTCTTCCTTTTTACCCTTCCTTCAATGAAGGACCTATACTTAAATGGTGTTAAGAAGCCTAAACATTACCTTCCTTTCTTGAGTTTCTCATTGTTATACTTTGCTGTGCATTTCAATCCCTGCACCCCAGGTAAGGTGAACTTCTCGCTCTTGCAGGTGGGCAGTATCTTCTGTTATGACGCGACAAAATCAGATTCCGACTGAAGATGGTTCCCGGGTGACACTGGCTCTGATTCCTTTATGGGATATGTGCAATCACACCAACGGACTGGTAAAAATTCCATTTATGTCATTTACAAGCATTAGAGTTCAATAAAACGCTGAATTATTATTAAAGTTAATGGCCTTTTGTCATTGTATTTTAAAAATGTCATTCTACCTGCCCTTCTCACAGACACACGTACGCAGACATGCACACGAACACAGCCATCCACTGAGCATCAGTATTAAACTTTTTATTGTGCTACAAACTGAGCCAACATTCTTTTTTTGCAAAAGCATTTCATTGTAGTTTGAGAATTTTCTTTTTTGCCTTTTTTATTTTTCCCCTCCACTGTTCTTTCTTCTTTACTTTCTGTCCATTTTCACTGTTGTATTCTTGTACATGCTTCCCTCCCCCTCCCCTTTCTTTATATAACTCTAAATATTTCTCCATCTCTGTTCAAAGAGTTGTTTTTTTGTTACTGATATTACGGTTGGGGAAGTGAACTTCCTCTTGGCCCCTTATTCCTGCTTCCATTTGCCATCATTAGACTACTCCGGGGACATTTGTGATACAGGATACACTTATGAATTTTTAGGAACAGTATCATCACAACAGTTAAATTGGGTTTTTTTTTTGTTTCTTTCACTGAGACCCCAACAAAATAGCATCATAATTAATAGTTTTTTGTGCCCAGATGAATATTATAGGGCAGAGGAGAACTAGACTATTGTTCCTTATTAGTAAGATGGTAACATATTGCAGAAAATTTTCAGACATTTCTGAAACACATTCTTAAGTCATGTATAGTTTATTTTTTTATGTCATTTACTCTTTTAGAAACAACATGAATGAAATTGCAAATCTTGTTAAAAAGCATTTTATAGAGAGCAAAACAAAATTAGAAATGTACCCATACTTTTAAAGTCTGTGTCAAAAACATGACAAGGAAATCTCAGTGCAAATTTTAAAAGGCATATCAACAGGTATCCTGAAGAATCAAAGTAATTAGATGGGGTTCCTACTCCCCCCAAATTATGCATTTGCATTAATTTTGAAATTTGCTCATATAATTAACCATAACAAAGAACTGACATTTTTATTATTTGTGGGAGTTATTAAATAATTTTCCGTACTCTGTTCTTAATTGGTTTTTCATTGAGACGTGAAATCCAGTACATTTGTTCAATTTAAAATGTTAAATTTTTCAAATGTGTATTAGTGTCTATCTGACACTTTTTTCCTAAATTAAAAAAAATTGCATTCATAAATAAAAATAATGAACCAGTTTGGACCAGTAACAAAAGCCAAATATTTTCTAAAATTTTTGAACTTGAACGAAGTTACAATATCAAAATATTGAACTGAACTAGTACATCACTTGGTTTCAGTCCTTGTCAAGAGCATGACTAATATTTAAAAGGTATGCCATTTGATACCCTCCTTCTGGTTGTTTTTCTGACATATTTTTCCTCAAAAAATAAAACATTTTCCACCTTGAGGAATATTTTCCATTATTCCAAATATGGAAATGGTATTCTCCTGGTTTTACTTTGATAAATTCCAATATAACTTTCTGAGATTGTAGATTACACATGTCAGCAATAATTTCCTAAGAAAATAATGTTCCTGAAAGGCAAAATTAGCTTGGTTGACCAGAATTTCTCTATTTGCATCTGTCCTGATTTTTAAAAAAATTTTCTATCTATCCTGACTACATCACTAAGGGAGTGGGTAGAAATTTGTAACCCAGCAACGCTGTCTGCTTCCAGCAGTGTCCCAAAAACCTGGTTATGGAAGCAGAAAGGGAAGAATTTCATCTGTTTCATCAAAGTGAAACTAGTGTAGCCAACTGTAGTTAACAAAAACAGCAACCTTCAGAAAATGCACATACCACCCTTTGAAATGTTGGATGGTGTGAACCATGTTTCTGGGCTATTCAGGCTTTGAATAAACAAATTTAGAGAACTTTTTAATTTATAGTCATGATTTGCAAGAAATAATTTTAACAAGATTTTAATTTTCTCTTAAATTTATGTGAAAAGAAGCTGCCTTTCTAAGGGCTGTCCAGTTTAAGTAAAGAAGGAACTCTGCATGTGGTTTTGGCCACTATAATAACCCAAGTACACAAATGTGTTATATGAATGACCAGTTCTTTTATTTGAAGATGTGAATTTCAGCCAGCTAGAATGAAAGGCTATCTGAAAGTAAGAGCAGAATTAACAGCGGTGTTTTGTCGAGGCCTTTCTGTTTGCATATTGAAAATAATAATCAGAAATCCTTTAGTCAAGGCAGAGTAGCTTTCACTTTTAGTGTAGTTCTCTACATCTTATGAATGTAGAAGAAAAGGCAGAGAAATAGGATAGTGTAGGTATTGAACTTGACCAGAACTGGCAGGTCAAAGGGTAAGAGCAAATGAAACTCTTAAGGAAAGTTAACTTATCAGTGGAGGTCACCTGACATTGGAGAACTTCCCTCTGACTGGATACTGTCAGCTATTCAGTGTTTGCTTTTCATTGTCGATGATAGTGTTCTTGGCTGTTTTTCTTCCTTTTTATTTTGTCTTTTACATTCTATTGCCTTTTCTGTTTGGTTTAACCTTATTCTCCTACATCGTTAAAACTGTGAGAAAGTGAAGTAAAGCTCAAAAGTTGGTGCTAATTCTAGCTTCAAGTAATGGATCCCATGTCTTCTATTTTACTGTGTGACTCTGGACATCAGTTTCTTCCTCCATAAAATGAGGTTATATTATTATATTATCTGAAAGGCCCCTTGCAGCCCTAAACTCTATGTCCTATGATGTAGAGATGAAAGCAAACAGTAGCATGAGCATAACTCAGAATGCTATTGCCAAGAAGTCAAAATGATTAAAAAACATCTGGGAATTTTGTAGAGGAAATTCTCAGTAACATATGGGGTTGAATTAAATAGCCCCTGATGTCCCTTCCAACCTTGAGATCAGTGATTTTTCTGAAAAGTCTTCTGTGGTCAGGTCTATATTAGATTATAAGTGCTAAATTGGGAATTTCAAGCTTTTAAAAAGGATGTGGAGAATTTGGATAGTTCAGAAATAATAAAAGCTAACATTTCTTTGGTGCTTTCTATATTAAAAAACACTTTCCTCACTAACAGTTCTATAAGGTAAGGAGTGAAAATATAATCATCCACATTTTTGCAGAGAAGGAAGTTACAGTTCAGAGTATGGTGACTTCCCCAAGTCATAACCAGACTATGCCCCCTCGTTAACATGATTAAAACGTTGAAATATAAAATCTATGAGAAAAAACATTTTAATTTAAAGTTAACTTTGCTAGTAGTGGTATTCCTAAATGGAAAAAGGTCAGTATTTGTCTATTAGTGGCAAATTTGAAAGTGATCCAATGGTATTCCTGAAAAGTAGAGCTGTATCAGCTAGCTCTCAGGGCTTCTGAATGAGAAATGGAAGTGCCCTTGGTGAACCAACAATATCTGAGAGCACAGTCCGTATCAACTTCTTCCATACTGCTTCATTTAGAAGGCTGTTGTGAATCCAGCCTTTAGTAAGGAGGGGATTAATACTGACTGACTCCAATTGCCCCATACTTCTTTGGATTAAAACTCATTCTTTGATATAATCAGAATGAAAACGATTTCAAGCTGATACATACAGATAAATTGGACCCTTTTTTTTTTTTTACCTTTACCTCAAAATTTGGGACACAGGTCAGACTTTGCATGTTACTATGAAAATGTTATGTGTGGAAGTCTAGCCTTTGTCGTTACAATATTCCAGTTGCCTCTTAGCAACCAAAGCTTTCTGAAGTTATTATTAGTCAAAGGAAGTCATCTCTTCAACAGGTTCTTTTTTCCCCCTCTTTTAATTGCTCCATACTTAGGATCTTGACATATATAATTACCACAAAGACCGAGTGTTGAGTGGCTGTGCTGAAGAGAAAAAGCATTACTCCATCTAAGATAGTATTTTTGAACCAGAGAAGGTAAATTAGATGTTTATAATACTTGGATTTTTTTGCTAAAACACATTTATCTGATGTTTTAATTACCTGATGCAGTTGTTAAAAATTGATTGGCCTACCTTTGCCAAATACGCTAAAATGTTTGGCCTTCCATCTCCTGCTGGTGCTACTAGTCCCTTAAGGAAAGGCTGCTGGGAACCAAACATGACATCTTCCATGTGCCCCAAAGCAGCCATTTACATCTGTATAAGTACAAGGGATCTTCCACCTCCTACTGCTAGCCCAGTCCCCCAGCTGGGTTATGGAGAACCTCCAGTGCAAAGGAGAACAACTTTTCCTTTGACTTTGGCCTCTCATCTCCTGCAGTGCCTGTCTTTTGAGGGTAGAGGAATGGTATCCTCCACTCAGTGATGAACATTCTCACACCTGTCATACTCTTCACATCCCAATGCCTCTGAACTCCTGCAGGTCATCATCTAAACCTCATTTAGTAACCCCTGCCACCCAATTCCTCATTCCCATCTCCCTCAACCTTCCCACTCCAAAGTTTCATCCAAATTCCAACTACCCTTTCCACTGTGTCTTCTGGGATGCCAGTTTCATAGACAAGAAACTTCTCATCTTAAATGTATTCCTTATCTGTTCCTTTCCTCTAGCTTTTACTGTAGCTTTCCCCTGGCCACCCTTTCCAATACTAGATGCATCTTCACTCACTCTCAGCTCACTGCTATTCATTGCCACTTCCTTATTCTTCCGTACCACAGTTACTCAATAACCACTCATCCTTTGAGGTTCATGGTATTCATATCTACTACCCAATCAAAATCCTTGTAGCTCTCGTCTGCAGACCCACAGGTCACTCCCATTCCTTCATCAATGAACTCAGTACACAGCTCACAGTTTTTCTGTCCTGCCCAACTCCTGCTCTCATACTAGGGGACTTCAGTATACATACTGCCTTTCTCAAACACCCTAACTTCCCATTAGCTATTCCTTCAACCCACCTCTGCTACATACAAAGATGATCATCCCCTTGATCTTGCCATTACCCACAAATGTACCCCCTCCACATTCAAGAATTCTGAAATTCCTGTATCCGACCATAATTTATTGGCTTTTCACCTCTCTCTCTTTCCTTACAAAGCCGTACTCTTTATCCTCACTGTGACTTCTTATCCCTTGACCTCTCAATTCTCCCCCAGGCCATCTCACCTGCACTAGCCTTTCTCTCCTCTTCTCCCCATCTTACAAATTCAACTCTATATTATCCTCTTCTCTTGAATTCCTAACCCTTTTTACCATATCACTGATTATACCCTGCCAAGCCTCAGCCATGAATCGCTTCCACCATTTGTTGCCTTCAGGCCTGCACATGTGCTGCTGAATGAAGGTAGAGAAGATCATATAACCATTCTGACTGTGTCCACTATAAGTTTATATTGCACAATCTCAATTGGGCCCTTGCTGCTGCTAGGTAATCCCACTAAACCTCCCTTATCAGCTCTCTATCCCACTTTCCACAGTGGCTCTTCCAAAGCTTTTCATCCCTCTTCATGGCTCCCTCCCACCCCCACTCTCAGCTGAGAACCTTGCCCCATATTTTACTGAAAAATATTGAGCCCATTTACTGTGTTTTACTTTTCTCCCCTCTTTCTCATATATCACTCGGGCACCTCCTACCACTTTCTCCTCCTTCATCTGTGTCTCACATAGTGAAATGGCCTTAACTCTTTACCAAGGCTAACCTTCCACTTGTTCAAATGATCCTATTCCATCCCAGTTCATCCAGTGTACCCCCTCTGTCACCACCACTCTTTGATTTATTTTTAGGTTCTCCTCTACTGGCTTATTCCTTATTGCCTACAGACATACCCATGGCTCCCCTTTCCTGAAAAAAACCCTCACTTGATCCTTCTATCCCAACTAACTGCCATCCATATCTCTTCAGCTCTTTGTAGCTATACTCTTAGAAAAGGTCATAGGTGCCTATACTTTCTCTCCTCTCACTCTTTAACCGCTTACAAACTAGCTTCTGACCGTATCACACCCACCACTGCTCTCTCCAAAGTTACTAATGATCTCTTATGTGCCAAATCCAGTGGTTTTTTCTCAGTCGCCTTTCTTCTTGATCTCTCTGCAGCTTTTGACACTGTTGATCACTCTTGTTCTTGATAACTTCTTCTGTCTAGGTTTTCAAGATAACCACTATCTCCTGGTTTTCTCCTACCTTATCTGATTGCTCCTTCTCTACTTTGCTGGATCATCCTCCAACTCAGGCCTTCTAAACATAGATGTCCTGCAGGATTCTGTCCTTGGCCCTCTTCTCTTCTTCCTCCATACTACTTCACTTCATGATCTTATCACCTCCTATGGATTTAATTACTGTTTTTACTTTGATGATTCTGAAATTTACCTTTCCTGCCCCAATCTCTCTGCTGACTTCTAGTTTCACATCTCCAGCTGCCTTCCAGAGATCTTTTAGGGCATCTAGGTGGCACAGTGGATAGAGCACCGGCCCTGGAGTCAGGCGGACCTGAGTTTAATCTGGCCTCAGACACATAACACTCACTAGCTCTGTGACTCTGGGCAAGTCACTTAACCCTAATTGCCTCATATTAAAAAAAAAAACCCAGAGATCTTTTATTACTCATTTATGAAGTGAGTTCATCAGCAAACACAGTGTTGTAGAAAGAAAGACAAGGGATTAAGAAACTTCAGTAAAAATCCCAGTTCTCACAGTAGGTAAAGCACCGGTCCTGAAGTCAGGAGTACCTGAGTTCAAATCTGGCCTCAGACTAAACACTTGACACTTACTAGCCATGTGACCTTGGGCAAGTCACTTAACCCCAATTGCCCAAAAAGAAAAAAAAATCCCAGTTCTTCCTATTGTGTGGGACTAGGCAAGACTTTACCTCCTAAGTTCTGGTTTTTTTCATCTGTAACATAAACAGACTAGATGCTCCCTGTCATTCCTTCCAGCTTTGATGTTTTGCTTCTCTGATGACCCTCTGATGGTTGCCTAACAACATAGTAATTGCTTGGGAGAGATACACTTGAGTATCAGACCTAGTCAACCCAGCCCTCAAAGACTTCAGAGCCTGTAGTCTAGATGAGAACTATTGTACTGTCTCATATAAGGGCATTTTGGAGGTTGAGCTACTCTGTGAAGTACTCAGAAATCTTTGCATTCTAGGCAAAAAGAATTGCAATAATGATAAAAATGAAATTATCATTTTAATTTTATTTTTCAATTTCATTTACTTACCTAAGGGGCCTATTGTCATGATTTCAGAATAAAATATGTATCTGTTATAGAATGAATCTTTTCCTCTTTTCTCGACCCTGTATACTGCCTTAGAAAACCCTCTTCAGCCTCTCAGAATAATTGCTTAATTCCTGATAAAGGAATTGTTTGCAAGTAAATTGGAGTTCTCCAAAAATTGTATTCCCCAAAGAGCCAGAGTTATCCATTCCTTTTCTGAAACAAAAGAATGCACTGGCAGTTGATGAGTCTGACAGAATTCTTACCTTATTGATGGACTGTGAATGCAACTACTTTGTAATAAACGTTTGTTCTTGGTTGGGACAACCTTCTAAAAATCTGTGGAATATATTTTCCTTAGAGAATTTCTTTTGCTTCAAATAAATTAATTTTTTTCTATGAGATTTTCTAGCATAGATACAACTAATCTGAGCTTTCATGCAGTTATTGTGGCAATTTTTAGAGCCTATTCAGGGATGATCTCCAGGTACATAGCTATTGTTTGACCTTCAGTTCTTCCAAAAAAGGCAAAACTGATGAATCAAAGATAATTATAGATATCTTCATTAATATGCTTTATCCTCTTCCTTCTTGACTAGATTACTACTGGTTACAACCTAGAAGATGATCGTTGTGAATGTGTTGCACTACAGGATTTTAATGTTGGAGAGCAGGTATGTTTCATACTGTGTCCCATATTATGTAGACCGAAAGGTTGTTATCAGGTAAATTCCTCGTAGTTAACTTGCATAAAATGGCATGAAAATATACTTACATTGTAGACCATGTGTTGACTGCAACACCCAACATTCTTTGGAATATAGAATAAACATGTTGTGATTTGAATTGGATTTTGTTCTGTCCTCATTAAAAACAAGTAGCAAAACATGACCAAAGTGAACATTCATAACAATTTAAGTTAAGAATAAATTTTGTTCCAGTGTAATTCTAAATAAATATTGGAATTTTGTAAGAAAATACTTTTAAGATCTCACTGTTTTATTTGATTCCCTTTCCTATTAGCAATAAAAATGAATGTCTTTTAATTTGTAAAGAAATTGTGTGGTCTAGTGGTAAAAATACAACGCAGAGACGGGAGGCTTGAGATCTATTCCTGTTTGGTTCTTGTATTTAAATCTATAAAAATTCTCCCTTTAATAATTTGGGAGTTTCAGTAAGTAATCTTTTTCAATAAGTTACTGCATTTGCATATGTATAAGTACCAAACTTGTTTTATTTCCATTGATCTTATAAATATGCATATCTTATATAAAATAAAACAACTTAAGACTGTTGCTATAACCCCAATTGAAACAATAGAAAGGTCTTTGTCCAGCAAAAGTATTGACCTTCCATTTCTGAAGGAACATTTGGTGGAGAATTGTCACATGATCTAGTAATAAATTTCTGACACTCGTTGCTTTAAACTCTTGTTCTAGAATAGACTCTCCTGTATAAAAAGGAGAAGAAGAACATGATAACTTTTAAAAATGCAGTCTTTAAAGTAATAGACTTGCTGTCCATTGGAAGGAGAAGAGGATGATATGAAAGGTCAGATGAGTTCAGGGGTCAGGGATCCTTTGTATGATACTAATACCCTCAATTCTGCTTCAGAGTAGTTGACTCCCCTTCACGTGGTGGTTATTGAAAATGACATTTTTCCTCAGTTCATTTCAGTCAGTTGGGTGGTGGTGTTAAGAAAATTGTTTACATTACATTAATTACATTATTATTGTTTACTTGTTTGTATTTCACCACAGCAATGCATTTTTTAAAATATTAAATGAAAATTTTTAAATTGGTCTAGTTAAGGTCAGGTCTAGTCAACTCTATTTATTAAGTGACTACAGTGTGTTAGGTACCGAGGATACAAGGACAATACTGATGAAGTCCCTATCTTGAAAGAATTTACTTTTTACTGAGTGGTCAAAATGAATATACACACATATGTACATATATATACACACACACATATATACATATAACTAAATACAAGGAAATTGGGGTGAGGCACATTAATAACCGGGAAGGTCAGAAAAAATTTCTAAAAGAAAGTGGCACATGAGTTTGAGCCTAGAAGGAGACTAAGAATTCCAAGAGAAGATGATGAGGAGATTCTCCATACTAGTCATGGAGAGAACACCTGAAAAAAGGTGAGAAGATATTAAATAAATCTAGAAAAGTAGGATAGTGACAGATTGTAGAGAGTTTTAAATGACAGACTGAACATTTATATTTATCTTTGAAGGCAGTAGAGATCCACAGAAGATTTTTGAGTGGGAGAATAACATAGTTGGTCTTTCCTGGCCTGCAGGAAGATTATATTTTGATTGCAACATGAAGAGATTGGAAGCGGGGAAACTAGTCAGGACTGTTGCAGTAATCCAGATAAATGGTGTTGAACTAGTATAATGACAGAATGAGTGAAGAGGAAACAACTGATACAAAAGTCAGGAAGATAGAATTGACATCATTTGGCAACTGATTAAAAAAAAGGAATGAAAGAGAAGGAAAAGTTAAGGATAACTGAGATTGCAAACTTAGGTGAATGGCACCCTCAACCGAAACAGGGAAGTTTCAAGGAGGAGTGGATTTAGATGGAAAGGTGGTATACTTCATGTTGAGCTTGAGATATAAGAAGGTAAATTGAAGTAGAGGAATCTAATAGGTGGTTGGCAGTATGGGACAAGAGAGGAACTGTATTGATTGTGCAGATTTAGGAGTCATCTCTAGGGAAGTGTTAATTGAGCTGTTGAGATCACCCAGTAAAAGAGGATACAGAAAGGAGAGAGAAAAGCCCAGGGCACCCATGCTTAGTAGGGTAAAAGCTTGATAATGACCTGGCTAAGAAGACTGATTAGGTGTGGTCTGCCAGATAAGAACAGATTCAGGAGACAGCAATGTCATAGAAAGCAAGAGAAGAAAAAAATATCAGGAAGAAAGTGATGCTCACTAGTGTCAAAAGATATAGAGAAGTCAAGTAGGATATAGACTGAGACAAGGCCATCAGATTTAACAGTTAAAAGATCATTGACAACCTTACAGAGAGTAGTTGAGTAGTGTGCTCAGAAGCCAAAATACAAAGATGTGAGAAGTAAGTGTAAAATGGAGACTGTTAAGTATAGACAGCCTAGTCTAGGAGTTTGGCTGTGAAAGGGGATAACAAATATAGGATGATAGCTTGAGGAGGAAGAAGCAGGGTCAAATGAAAGCTTTTTATAAATGGGGAGATTTAGACATATTTGAAACAGTGGGGAAACAGCCACTTAATAAGGAGAGATTGAAAATGAGAGGGAGCAGGAATACTCAAAGAGACAAACTCCCAAGAGAAAAGGAAGGGGAGGTCATAGGGTAGGAGGAAGGGGATTAAGGGTACCAGTAGAGGAGTTGGCTTTGGTAAGGAAAAGAACCACTTGTTTCTCAGGAACTAAAGCAAAGGATAGGAAAATGGAAGGTGGCAGGTGGGAGTGTGATGTACAAGGCTTTTGAGGTGTGGAGTAGAGGAGAAGAAAGGCACAGAGGATGACCTCTATTTTCTCAGGAAAGTAGGAGGCAAGGTTTTCTGTATTCAGAGAGATGAGTGAGAATGTGGTATAGGAGTCTTAAAAAAAAAAAGTAGGTTGGAACTGCTACTTCAGGGAATATGTTGGAGAGTCAGCCCTGGAAGAATAAAAAGATTTCCACGTATCAGTAGAACCCAACTGAAATTAGATAACATACATTTATAGTGGACCTATTGAAGTAGTTGTGGTACTTCCTCCATCAATCAGCAGCACTCATATAGGAGCATAGAAACCACATAGTGTAAGGAGCCTTGGGTGGAGGTTTGGCAAACACAAGGGAGCATGGGATTCAGAAATGAAAGACAAGTCTTAATTAACTGGGCAACTATAGGGTTGAAACTGAAGAGAAGGTAGTAAGGCCAGAACAGAGGTTCTGGGAGAATGTGAGGGGTGGAGGTACTGAAGGTGGTGAAGAGGATGAATAATTTTAGGAGTAGTGAGGCAGAGGCAGAAAGATGGGACAGGAGATTATGATTAGAGAGGGAATTTCAAAGTTCTGGATCATGGAGATAGAATAGTTAGGGGTGACAGTGAGATCTAAGCTATAACCATCCCTGGGGTGGCAGAGACAGGAGTGGAAGAGGACAGGGGTTGGGATGGCGAGGAAAACTGCAATCCAGATACTGAATCCACTCCTTGAGAAGGGACAGATTACCTGGAGGTCAGAGATGACTGTAACAAGGATCTCTGTAGACTGATATGAATAGATGAAGTGAACCTCAAAAGAAGAAGAGAGATCGTTGTGTGATGATAGCAAAAGGATCGAGAATTGACAGCGAAGGGGCAGCTAGGTGGCGCAGTAGATAGAGCACCGGCCCTGAAGTCAGGAGGACCTGAGTTCAAATCTGGTCTCAGAGCAAACACTTGACATGTACTAGCTGTGTGACCCTGGGCAAGTCACTTAACCCCAGTTGCCTAACCAAAAAAAAAATTTGACAACAAAGAGAAAGTTGTTTGCCAACTCCTCCTCTTGGCTCCGGTTGTTTGGATTGGGGTGTGAGACACAAGAGATGCACTCAGTCCTAGACAGGGATACGATGTATTCTCTGAGTACAGGACCATGGAAGGAGTGTGAGAGTAAGAGGTTTAAGACAAAATGAAGCAATGGAATAGAGGTTCCAGAAAGCAGAATAGAAGAGGGGAACTGAGCATGGTAGAGACATGGGAAAGGAAGAGCTGAGATGGATGGAGGTGAAGTAGCAGGAAAGAGTAACAGAGGAAGAAAGTTTTCACCTGGGAAATAGATGACTCTAGATAACGAGTATCCAGAAGAAGGTGGAGATTTAAAAGGTTAGGATAGAAGAGGTCCTAGATGAGGAGGGCTGTCACCATGCACAGTGCTATGAAAATGGTTCCCAAAACTAGGGAAAAAGAGAGGGAGGCAAACAGAAAAATTCTGTGGTACATTGGGGTCATTAAACACCTCATGATTGGGTCTCCAGAAATCTGACTGAATTTATGCTTGGCACTATTTCTTTTCTCATCCAGTCATGGTGGAAGAATGACATACACCCAAAAGATAGCACATATATGTGTTCTATACTTTTTGCCTAGTTGTGCCTTCTACTAGAGGTCATGGTCCAGTGTGAGGTCCTGGTGGTAAGAGGCCTGATGTCTGGATAAACATTGATTATGGTATGAAGGCTGAGCCATTTTTCATAGGCTAGCGGGACAGACTAGTAATGCTTCCATAAATAGCAATCGGTTCCCAGGCAAGTAGGTCTCCAGATACAGTGTGTGAGAGTTGTGGGTAGAACTCCATGCCTCTAGCTATAGCAATGGTAAAGGAAAATGTAGGTATTAGGGCAGGGTTCTTAGTGTTAACTGTGTCTGCCACATACTTGGGTGTTCAGTGATTATAAAGTTGTTTTCTTAGACATAGAGAGAGGTAGTAGATTACATCTCCATCTACCACAGCACTTAGGGGTAATAGAAGACTGGAGTGTTATTATTTTCTTTGACTTATTTATTTTATTATTTTTGGGGGGGGAGGGGAAGCAATTGGAGTTAAGCAACTTGCCCAGGGTCATACAGCTAGTGAGTATCATGTGTCTGAAGCCAGATTTGAACTCAGGTCCTCCTGACTCTAGGGCCAGTGCTCTCTATTCACTGCGCCACCTAGCTGCCCCTAGAGTGTTATTTTTTCTCAGAGGAATTGGAGACACGGGGCAGGCAGAGTAGGTGTTACTTGTGCACAAGGCAGTAGGTTCCTATGTGAAGAAGTCTCTAAATCCAGTCCTCTGTGACAGGCCAGGACCCTGCCTTCCTGGGTTCAGTAATGATGAAGGAAGGAGTAGGTGCCAAGATAGATTTAGTATTAGCATTCTTCCCTATTGGGCATTCAGTAGTGGAAGACTGGGACACGGTACATGGGGTATTCTTGGTAGTATTGGAAAGCTTACATGTCATTTTCTCCAATGGATTTGTTAACACTTGGCAAAGTGGGAGGTTCTTCCATGTCACTGGGTCTGGGGAAGCAGGTTCCAGGCTGCGTAGGACTCCAAACTCTGTCCCTGAGGACCGGGGTCCCTCACCTTCACCAATAAGAGATCTTGGTTCTGTTCTTATTCCCTGGCTCCTAGATTGGAACTTTATAGACATTTTGTCTCATTACTGTAAAGTGGCGCTAAATTTACAAGAAGTAATACTATACCTCAAGTCTGTACTAAACAGGTGTTAAGCTTTTTTATATGCCTTCATTTTTTTTTTACATCCTTTTAGATTTACATTTTTTATGGCACCCGATCAAATGCAGAGTTTGTGATCCACAGTGGTTTTTTCTTTGACAATAATTCACATGACAGAGTGAAAATAAAGCTCGGAGTGAGCAAAAGTGACAGGCTATATGCTATGAAAGCTGAAGTCTTGGCTCGAGCTGGCATTCCAACGTAAGTAAAAAGACTGGTCAGCCTTTCCCTCTGATAACTTGAAATATCTCCAATTGCATAGTGTTTAATTGAGGTGCTAATAAAACTGCTCCTCAGTAGTTTCTCTTAATCCTTTTATGCCTGCTACCTAGCAAATCCAAAGCATTTAGATGCATGGTAATTTACTAATGTTTTTAGATAAACATAATTGTTGGGAACATTCACAGTCAGTTCCTGGGAATATAGCACTGAAATTTTCATTAAGTTAAATAAGTACTTAAGTATCAACAATATCTTTCACCTTGAAAAGGTTAATGATGTGGATCAATTTGTTGCATTTAATTCTTTTCCTCCATTATCTACCATGCTGAATTGGCCATACTGAATGACTGTTAGTCATTTCAAGTTAAATTTTTTGCTAGCTAAATTTTTTCAGCTTTTCTTCCAGTATAGGATGATGAAGAAGATGAGAATTATGATTTATTGTTCTTTATGTAGTAGAGGAATTATCCTTAATGGAAATTGATTGTGTGGACCTTTTTACTGTTGAACTTATCAATATTTGATTAATGATGAAAATACTAATTATAAGTTATTGATATATGTAAATCAGAATTTGAATTATTACATTTGTTCCTATAATCTGGTCTGTGCAAATTGAAATTAAAACTATATTAGCTTATTACAAAAATTCACAAAGGTTCTTGCAAAGGTTCTGTTCTAAATACCTTTGTTCCTGCTGGAAAGATTTGAAATTTGTTCTTCTATAATTTAGATTTGTATGACTCATCTACCCTCTTTAGTTCTCCTAGAGGAAAACCACATGTATCATAAATTAAAGGGATTTTTCTTTGGAGCAGGTCAATAACTACACTGCTGTGACTGATCTCTGCTTACTGTTTCTGTTAGTTCCAGTGTCTTTGCCTTGCACTTTACTGAGCCTCCCATCTCTGCCCAACTTCTGGCCTTCCTTCGAGTATTCTGTATGACTGAAGGTAAATCATTTCAGAAAAATTCCTTTTGACTTAAAAAGAATTTTTCAGGAAGTGTAAAGAAAATAGACTTTCCAATTAAAGTTAGAAATGAAGACAGTTTATGAAGAAAGAGAGGTGGCAACCTTAGAAACAAAAGAAATCTGGCTGTCTGTGATGATAATGTTTCACTGACTGAAGTCCTTGTGTTGCAAACATTACTTTGTATTACACGAGTGTTTATCTTATATTTTGGCTCTATAAATGGTACAGCTGAGTACAGCAGAAAAAATCCTGGATTTGGAGTCGTAGGCCTTGGGGTTCAGTCCCACATTGGCCATTCACTAACCACTTGACCTGGGGAGAGTCACCTGCCCTGTACCTGGCCTCAGGAAGGCCTGAATTCCAGCCCTGCCTCAGGTACTCAGTAACTGTGTGACCTGAGATAGGTCCCTTAACCTCTCCTAGCCTCAGTTTCTTCAACTTTTTTATTATCTTAGTATGAAATTGTAATAATGATAACCACAGAGCTGTGAGATTTGAATGACAATAATACATATAAAAGTACTTTGCAAAATTTGAAACTAACTTGTGTTAGCTGTTATTATTATCTCTTATGGGAATAATAACAACACTTGTAACACCTAGGCAGCTAGGTGATACAGTGAATGAAAGTGCTGCCCTTGGAGTCAGGATGACCTGAGTTCAAATCCCATTTCAGACACTTACTAGCTATGTGACTCCAGACAAATTGCAACCTCTCTCTGCCTTAGTTTCTTCTTCTGTAAAATGGAGATAATAATAGCACCTACCTCCCAGGGTTGTTGTGAAGATGAAATAAGATAACAAACGTGCAGTGCTTTGCAAACCTTGAAGTGCTAAATGCTAGCTATTTTTATCACTTTTATTTCTACCTACCTCAAAGAGTATGAAAAAAACGCTTTGTAAATCTTAAAGCACTTTATAAATGTGAGTACTTTTATTACAATAATTATCATAATTTCAGGTGTCTCCCAAATCCACATTCATAACTTACATGATAACGTATTTTGATGTGCTTTAAAATCTCATTAGAATCAAATAACCTATACTAAAAAAAATCATTGCACATCAGTTTGTTTAGTAAATCAAAGAAATTTAATAATCAGGTGGCCATAGAACATCTTTATTTTCACCAATTAATAACTAGCAACAAATTATACAATTTCATTTCATAATTCTACGTTTTGAATATGAGTTTTTTCTTAGGCATGTAACGCCAGACAGCTTTACATTCATTTGGAGCAAACCTTGTTACAAACAAATAGTTTTGCTGTAGAAGTTTCTCCAAAAGAAGGGTTCTTAACCTTGGGTTTGTGAACTTTCTTTTTTAATATTTTGATAACTTTAAAATAATTGGTTTCCTTTGTGATCCTGTGTATCTTACTTTATGCATTGAGACACATTATTCTGAGAAAGGATCCGTAGGTTTCACCAGTCAAGCAGAGGGCTCCAGGATACCCAAAAAGGTTGAAAAGTCCTGTTCTAGAACAGAAGACTTCCTGGATCCAGTTTAATAATTTTTTTTCAATACCAACTGTGATTAAGGCCCTGTGCCAGGTTTAGCTTACAACTATCTTAATTCAAGCCTCATTTTGATACAACCAGAGAATTTAGGCAGACCTAGGAAATTTGTCATAGCATATAACAGTGATGTGTAGATTTTTTTCATCCCCAAATTCCCTGGCTAAAAAAATGAATATTATGAGAATATAAATGAATACTTATTTTAAAGCTGGTATATGTATTGATACTTGATGAGAACTTGTCATCAAAAGTCTCTCATTTGCCAGCGACTTCTGTGTTTTGATCTCAGTGCTAAAATTCAGCGTAGCATGAAGTAAGGAAGATTGTCCCTGTCTTTAAGTTGCAGGCATCTGTTTGCCTTCCCTGGACTTTGGAACAGAATATGTGGCTTGTGCCTTCCTTGCCTAAAAATGACTATTTTCTTTCATCTGTGAGCAAGGAGAAATCAGTAGATATAGGTTCAGGTTAAGTGAATGACAGTGTATCATATATTTGAAGTTTGGTTCCATTTTGTATTTTACTTAATGTGGAATCATCGTATTTAGAGCTAAGTGTGCCCTTAGACATTATCTGGTTCTGGTGCTTCTTTTTATAGATGATGGAACTGAAGTTCATAGACAGTGACTGTCCATGCTTACATAAGGCAGTAAGCACTAGAGTTGAACCAAGGTCATCTGACTATAAATCCATTGTGCTCTCTGTAATTAACCATTATGAGCTTTAAAGTAACACATTTTTCTTGTCTTCATTTGCTCCCCAGGTAATTAAAAATAAATTATTTCAAAGTTTTCAAGACTATCTGCTGATTTTTTTCATTTTTAATTAGAGTACTGACGTGTTTCTGTAGGAAAAAAAGTGCGAAAGCAGCATGGCATAGTGGATAGATTGCTGAATTTGGAGTCATGGATTCAAATCCTGATAATTAGTACCTATGAGATCATGGACAAGTTTACTTCATATCTCTGTTTTCTCGTGTGTAAAGTGAGGATAGTAAATCTCTGGGACCCACTTTACAGGCTTGTTATGAGGTTCAAATGAAATCATGTAGGTAATGTATTTTGCAAGCTTTAGAGTTCTGTATAAATGTCAATTATTAACATAATCATAAAACTAGCATTTTATATATAATTCTCCCATTTATTTAGCACTTAACAGTTTTCAAAACCCTTGTCTTACCACAGCCTTGTAAAGTAGGTCATAAAGATATTATTATCTCCATCATACAGAAGAGAAAATTGAGGTTCAGAGAAGTTAAAGGACAGAACTAAAACTCCATCTGAGGTCAACAATTCCACATTTCAATTTTTTTTTTCTGCATGTACTTAAAATTGTTAGTCCAGTACTGGTGATAATCTCATAGCAGTTCATTCCACCCTTTTCTTGTTCCTCCTGAACACATTTGAAAATTGTCTGGCTGAGGTTAAGGGTTTAGTTTTTGGCTTTGGGAAAAAATGAAGGTAACTGGTCTCTATGGGGATGAAGGCCTGTGTATGAATTGCCCATGAACATATTTGTAGAAACTCAACGACTACAGAGAAGAAGTAAATACATTTTTAATGTAGTTGACAAATTAAAAGATTTACTAGTAGAATGAAGTAATTTATTGTTATTCATTTACATATATGACAAAGATTACTTACCCCAGAAAGGCCGTTATTCATTTCAACAATGTTCTTAGAAGATCTTGATATTACCTTGTTTTCTTCCCCTTCATTGTGACTATAATTTAATGTATCCTGGGCTGAAACAGGTATTGATAGTTGGTTTAAGTCAAGTCAAACTCTTGTTATAGCAGTAGCTGGCTATTGATCCTCCATTACTATATGGTTGAGTATTAAAATCAGGGAAGAATGTGAAATCATATGATCCAGTTTGATTTCCACATATTTCTAGTACTAAATTTTTCATATTCTTAGCTAAACATTACAATAATTTCTGGTATTTTCCCTGTGAAGTAGCAATTTTCTATAAAACTTTAGGTAGTGCCTTTCTTGTTGTAAGTAAAATATGTCCATGTCTATTATGTGCAAGGCACTGTATTAAGTTGCTAGGAGTTGGGTAGAGTTGAGGGTAAAAGGGAACACAAAGATGAATAAAATATACTGTTGTCAAAAAACAAGAGTTTTAATGAGGGGGAGGGAGGGAAGCTAATATGCCATGCACAGGTAACCATAATAGATTCGTATTTCTCTTTATTAATTTTGATTCTTTAATTTCACTTCCTCTACACTTAAAAAGATAAGTACACTAAGATAGATTAAGTGGTGTATGAGGTCTGTTTTGGACATGAGAAAAATCTAAAAATTCCACATTCTTACCCTGAACTTCTAGTGATGCTTGAATAAAAGTATATATCAATGAAATTTCTTATGGAATGTCAATAGATTATCTTTTTCTTATTCCTCCTCACCACAAAAAATAATTATTTAGAACACTTCTAGCTTAGTAGAATTTGTCTACATTTCATGTGTAGTATGAGATTTAATTGTCACATACTCTTGTCTTTGAGAAGATCTATCTGATACTAATAAAAAGTTTATGTTGTTGAATACAAAAGTTCTTCATTTAAATTCTAAATAAGGAGAGCTGTGGGGCATTTTGCTGTGAAAGAGATACTGTCCTCATAATTACGAGTGAAGCTGGAGTATATTTCTTGGTATGAATAGGCTAGGCACATTTTGGTCTTTTGGAAATAATATGCCTACAGCAGTTGTGTTGAATTCCTCCTCCAGTGAAATATATTTAGGTGTAATTTAGACATTCTCTCATTTACTTGTGATTTGTATTTAAATTTCTTATGAGTGAGATGTATCAAATTTTCATCGACTAAGGTTTTCATGGGATATTTTCTTGATTGTTTTTGTTTGAGGAATTACTTATGTTGAGGGTAAAGGGTAAACCTATCAGAATTTGTTTCATGCAAATTTAAAATTGGAAGCCTTTTGGGACTTGTTGCAGTGAGCTTTGTCTTTGAAGTCATGGCAACTTTAGTACGTCTTGCCCTAGGTAATTCGGTAAGAGGAGGGCATTGTCAAAGTGAGGTATCCATGTACACAGTTCTAAAAAGTGGCTAATGAAACTGTCTCATTAATCCCTGTTTCCTTCATTAGAAATAAGGAATGTGAGGAGTGTTATAATTCGAAGGTATTGGTACCTTGTTTTTAAATAGAAATGAAAATTAAGACTTACACTTTATTTTCCTCTCCTAAACTTAAACTGCTGTTGCTGTTGTGAAGAGTATAGAAACATCATAGTCAGATGAACGTGCCTAGTGGGGAAAGCCAAGGGGAAGTGGCAGGATTGGAAAAGATACTGTCTAAGGTATGTCAGTTACTGAAATGAATAGTTGAGCTGTTTCCCCATTAACAGATTATCTTTTCTTTCTATTTCTCGTAGAAGAGCTAAAAGAACATTTGATAGGAGAACATGCCATTGACCGAATCTTCACTTTGGGTAACTCTGAATTTCCTGTTAGCTGGGACAATGAAGTCAAACTCTGGACATTTCTTGAAGCCAGAGCATCCCTTCTTTTAAAAACCTATAAAACAACTATTGAGGTAATTCTTATTGGTTTGTACTTGGCCATGTTACTACTAGATTGTAAGCCCTATGAGTGCAGTGGATCATGCCTTATTTTTCTTCCTGTGTCCCCCAGTGCCTGACAGCACACTACACATAGATGCCAGTTAAAGGGTGGTGGTGGTTATTGAAGCTTGATTAACAACTGAAAGTGATTTCTCCCTTCTCACATTTCTTATGATGCTTTAGACTAGAGATGTGAAACACACAGCCCATGGGCTCCACATGACCTGCAACATTCTTGAGTGTAACTCAGGCCAGATTAAAATGTAATTGAGAAATTTTTAACAAAGTAAAATACAATAAAAATAGGTAATATTTATATATAGTTTTTTAAGTCAGTCTGCATGCCACCGGGATCCTTATGTGTGGTTTAGTGGCCACCATTTCTATTTGAGTTTCACAATAGGGTTTTAGACCTTTTCTTTACACTGAATACATTTTGTGGCATCTCATCCACTGTACTAGAGTGTAAGCTTCTTGAGGACTAGGACTACTTCTTATGTCATTATTATATAATGCAAATTACTGTAGCTCTTTACCTGAATCATTCATTATTCAGCACTGTCAGCTTTATTTCTATTTAAAGTTTTGATACAAAAATTGTATTTACATTGTTGACTAAAAGACAAAGTAAGAATTATTTTTATTAATCCTCTCATTTTTTATTGTAATGTCGCTCTGAATAGAAGTCCTTGTTTATGCTTGAATTGTTTGCCTCTGAGCCACTAACTTAAAGTTTGAGAGGTAGTGGCCAGAATGCTGGACATGGAGTCAGAAACCAGATTCATTTCCCAACTCGACCACTTAATTTAATGAGCATGTGGCCTTCAGCATGTCCCTTAACTTCTTTGAGTTTCAGTTCCCTCTTCTGCAAACTGCTATAGCTATGTCACAGGGTTATTGTGATCATCAAATGCTATATCTATGTAAAGTACTATATGACTGTAAGTTGTTATTACGCATTTTGCACACACAGAACCTTATACCACCACACCCGTTTTGCTGAATGATTGTTTTAAAATCATGTAAGTTCTCTGTTTTTCATTTAGACTCACTTTAATGAATTTTGATTATTCTTTCCTCCTTCCATCCCCCCTCCAGGAAGATAAATCCTTCTTGGCGACCCATGACCTTACCTTTCATGCAACAATGGCCATCAAACTGCGCTTAGGAGAAAAAGAGATTTTGGAAAAAGCCGTAAAGAGTGCAGCTGCCAACCAGGAGTACTATTGCAAACAAATGGAGGAAGGCACCCCACTTCCCAAATATGAAGAGAGCAATATTGCCTTGTTAGAGAACACCGTGGCGGACTCTAGACTCCCGATCGTCCTCAGAAACCTGGAGGATGAGGCTGAGGTGCAGGAGGACTTAAAGATTGAAGAAGCTATCACTGATAGAGAAGTCACAGAAAATGGATTTGTAAATAGTGAAAACTCTATACCTAATGGGACCAAATCTGAGATTGAAAATCTAAATCAAGAAGAAAATACAAGAGAGACTGAAGATGCCAAAGAATCTTCTCCTGACAGTACCAATGAGGTTAAGCAATAGTCATGAAATACATCTTGACTTTATTGTGAAATTAAATTTAGCAAAAATTTATGAACAATACATTTACATTGGTGTGTTTCCTTGTTAACATTTCTCTTTCTGCAGAGAGGAAAGTACGTTTTTGCTGCTTTATATAAAATGATTTTTCTTTTTTTTTTAAGTTATTTTTAAGAAATCTGGCTTTTCTTTTCAAATAAGATTGCCATCTTGCTTTCAGGCACAAACACTCAGAAGAATGGGGTGAAGTAATGGTGGTAGGGGGTACCCTTTGGAAGATCTTACAAATCCATTGTAGGACAAATGTATTTTCTTCCTGAGGAAGAATTAAACCCTTCTAGCAGTTGTACTTTTATTGGCCTATCTTTCTGACAACCAGAATTAAAAGTCTGCTTTTCCTTCTGACCAGAAAATAGGATGAACTGAATGTTCGATATGAAAATAGAGGTGCAGCACAGTGGAAATTTGTGTACAAAGATCAGAAACTTTGGAGATGGGCAATTTTTTTTTCTTTTAAAGACAGAAAATGGTACAGAGGGAAAATACCTGAGTAGGAAAGAATAAAATGTGGTAAGGTGGCAAACTTATTTTTAATAGTTTTAAATATTAATGATAATCTGAATTATATATTCTTAGTGATTTCTTAAGATTTGTTTACTTTTTGTGTTTTGTTTACTATATTAAATGTGTCCTCCCTCCTTGAATCAAAGTAGGGTACTATACTGTACTATTCACCTAATTTCAAAAGCTGACTTTTTAAAGTGGTACATTTGATTTACAGTCTTGGTAATGGCAACTTCAAAAACATAGTCCAACGCACAGTTTTACAGAATGTTGTTCAAAGTGAGGATGCACTCCCCTGCCCTTCATCTTATTCAGGTTTTCACAAACAAGCTAGAGGTTTTCAAAGCTACGTTTTTGACTACAAACCATTATTAAAAGGAAAATGTGATTAACATTTTTGTCTCTTCCTTCTTTGGGGGGTGGGAAGGAAGTAGTTTGGAGGTTTTATACAAATCATCCTCATCTAATGTGAATCTTTAAACAATTTGTAAGATTTGAGAAAGCATCCTGAAGTAATCTTCCCATCCCTACACAGCCAGAGTGACAAAATTTCAGATTGTGCTGTCCTGAGCAGCACTCGACTACAGATTATCCTTTTGCTGCACTATTTGCACATAATGTGGTTGTATATTTTCTGGTAACCCTATGTAAAAAGTGTCATGAAATAAGCAGAATGAGCGTTAAAATATTTGCCCTGTAACTGAACTATGAAGTAGGTTTATTCCTATTTTATACGTAAAATATGGTTCATAAGCGGAAGGCCCTTGATTGGGTTTTGGACACTGTAACTGCTTCCTTGATAATTTGTCATTCAGTCATTTTCAGTTGTGTCTGACTCTTCCGGACCCCACTTGAGCTTTTCTTGGCAAAGATACTGGAGTAGTTTGCCATTTCCTTCTCCAGCTCATTTTACAGTTGAAGAACTGAGACAAACAGGGTTAAATGACTTGCCCAGGGTCACACAGCTAGTGAGTGTCTGAGGCCAGATTTGAACTCATGAAGATGAGTCTTCCTGACTTCAGGCCTAGCACTCTATCCCCTGTGCCACCTAGCTGCCCCTGCTGATAATTAGTTGATTTTTATCAGAAGAGTCAGCCTCCTCTGTGATGAACAAAAGTGAGCCATCTTCCCACAGGCCAGTTTCCTTTGATTTTGACACCAGAATACTGTGGAGTAAACCTGCTTGCTAGAGGGTAGAGAGAAATTTCTCCCCCTCCTCTCCACTGCAACAGTATTAAGCCCGAAAGGGAAGCTAGATTTCCAGCTCCTGTCTGCTTTTCTGTTTCCTTTTCTGGGCATTGGTCATATACTAGGATTCCTGAGAATGGAGTTTCCCTACCCAAGACCTAGCAGCACATAAGGCAGTGAGTTGTAGCAGGCACTTGGGCGCCCACACATAGCTTGAGAGCAGACTTTCTCTGCTTTGGGGGTTATCTTACAGGCAAGCTTGAGTTTAAAAGGTCCTGAGTTAGAGTGTTTGAGCACTAGAAAAGCTGGTGGGAGATTTCCTCAAAATGCTTCTCGGAGAAGAAAGGAATGTCAAAATAGCCCCCTGCAATGGGAAGACTAGAGCTCAGCATGGGAGGACGGGAAATCTGGATGAACCTTGACAACCCCACGCTGTTGGCATGAGTCATTTGCACTAGCACTCTGTCTTCTGTGAATGGGTAGTGTTTGTTTAGCAGCCTCTCAAGTGGCTTTATCTTCAAGGGGAAATCCAACAGGCTATTTGAGTGCTTTATTCTTATTTATTTATTTATTCGTGTGTGTGTGTGTGTGTGTGTGTGTGTGTGTGTGTGTGAGAGAGAGAGAGACAGATGTGCATGTTCCTGGGATTCCTTTTTGTCTCATGAAATGAGACAAATGATTCCTTTTCTGTAGCTCATGAAATAAAGGTTATTCCATGCCTGGTACATGTATTGTACAATGAGTGTCCATGCAGAAGTTGGGGATCTGCTTTTACAGGGGAAGCTTAGGTTATGAACTATACTCGAGCGTTGATGGGGAGATTTGCCTAGAGTAAAACTCTGGAGTTGTGTCGTCCAGCCAAAAAGAAAAAGATGCAACATGGAGTATTAGAGCACTAGCTAGACTTGGAGTCAGGGACATCAGGATTTAAATCCTGCTTGAGACAGGAGCTGTATACATTAGGCATAACTTAACCTGTTTGAGCCTTGGCTTTCTCCTCTGTAAAATTAGTGTTGGACATGATGGCGTCTAAGGTCCCTCTTGGGTCAAGGTGTCCCAGCATTGGATCTGGTCTGGGTGAGCTCAGAGTACTTGAGGGAAAGGGAGACGGGAGGGAGGACAAATAGTGTCCTGGGAAACCTACAAAGAAATTTGAGTTTTAGAGAGAAGTAACTTGCCCAAAGCCACACCATAAGGGGCAGAGGTTGAATATGTCATCAGGCCTCTTGACTTTGTAGAAAGCAATTTTTCCCCTATACCATGTAACACCAGAAAGATTTTGAGGGTTCTTTAAATGGGAAAGAAGTAACTGTTACAGTCTAAATATTATGCAAAATCCTCTACTGGAATTTTAGGTTTTGCTTAATTGAGGGCATTGCTTTCTGAAATTTAGGAGATTGGACAGCTACATGTAGGTAATGGCTTATACAGCTAGGGTCAGGCATCATTGTCAACTCTTACAGCAACCATGGTAGCTAGGATACTTTAATAAAAGTATTCAGTTTGGTTTTTTTTTAAGCCTACATGCTTTCCCAAGGGTCATGCTACTTTTGCACTTTTTACTTTGGCTCATTAGCACCAGGGAATAGTTTATTTGTGATTAATTTGCCTGTAGGTCTACCTTCCTGTAGCTTAATGGTTTTTAAAAAATCATCTATTTATTTATTTATTTTTTGTTTTCTTTACTTACCAATTTAACCTTTTTTTTTTTTGGCTAGGCAGTGGGGTTAAGTGACTTGCCCAGGGTCATACAGCTAGTAAGTGTTATGTATCTGAGGTCGCATTTGAACTCAGGTCCTCCTCAATCCAGGGCCGGTACTCTATCCACTGCGCCACCTAGCTGCCCCAGCTTAATGTTTCAAATCTATTATTTCAAATTTAACCAGGCAAAAGGCTGCCTCGATATTGATTGAAAGAGTTGGAAATGTTTAGCCTGAAGAAAGGAAACCTTAGGGAAGGGACTTGGGAACTGTGCTCAAGTATTTGAAATACTGTCATGTGGAAGGATGAGACTTGTTCTCTTTGGCCTCAGAGAGCAAAATTAGGAGTGACCAGTGGAAGTTACCAAGGCACAAACTCAGTCTTGGTGTAAGGAAAAATTTACTAATAGAAGTAACCTCAAGGGGAATGGACTGCTTCAGGAGAGGTAGGTTCTCCTCCAGAGGTTCTTAAGCCAAGTTTGGAAGACTGCTTGTCAGGGTTTTTGAATGTATTATTTTTCAGGTTTGGGTTGACGTCTAACTGAAATTCTGATTCTGTGCTTATAGCCACAGTTTGGAAAAGATTTTGCTCAGATATCAAATACCATTACCAAGCAAAGGGATATTTCAATTTATAGTGTCTATGGAGAGAGTATTTTAGTGGATTAAGAACCAACCTTTGAAGAAGGAAGACCTAGATTCGTTTCAGTTGTGCTGAACTTTCCTTGACCCAATTTGGGGTTTTCTTGGCAAAGACAATGGAATGGTTTGCCATCTCCTGCTCCAGCTCATTTTACAGATGAGGAAATTGAGACAAGGACTAGCCAGGGCCACACAGCAATTAGTGTATGAGACTGGATTTTAACTCAGGAAGATGAGTATCCCTGACTCTAGGCCCAGTACTCTATCTTTTGTGCCACTGAGCTGCCCTGAATGACTTGGACTGGTGACTTATACCTCTCAATGCCCTAGGCAACTCCCTAAGACAGGAAATCGCAGAATAATCTACATGGATAGAGAAAATCTCACCAGATGTTCCTTATACCAATCAAGTCAAAAATCCATTGTAAAAACTACAAAGAAAAAAAAAATCTTCCCATAACTGACAACAAACTATATTCCCTCAATAGGATGAAGTCAATGTGTGGTAGAAAAACGACTGGTAGGAGATTTGGCTCTAGTCTTGGCTGCCATCAGCTATGTCACCTTAGATATTGAGTATCTTTGGACTTCAGCTATCTATAAAATAAGGTATCTTGTGTTCTAGCTTTAACATTGGATGATTTTGTAATTCTTTTTTTTTTTTTGCTCTACCTAAATGTTTATCTCAGTTTTTCAGGGCATTTTTATTGAGGTCTTAGGAGCAAAAAATGATCTTGTTTTCAGTTAATTAAATGCAATGTATTTGTGCAAATAAGAATAAAGTATCCTAACTTGGAATTGTGTTGTAGAATTGCCCTAAAATGACTCTTTAAAGTTGGTGAAGTCATAGCACATATTAGTCATCTTCTCTACCCTATTACATTTCAGTAGATATAGCATCACTTACACAAACACTTTAAGCTACAGCTTAAGGATTTGAAAATTGAAGGAAAGTGATTAAATTGGCATTGAAGAACCCTCTTTGCCATCTGTCACGAAATAGTCCTTCCTCTCAAATCATTTTAAAGTTTACTTTCCTTAATGCTTTGGATAAGAGGCTGTTTGGGCTAGTCATTGGGAAAATGCCAGATTTTGCTCCTGTTTAGTTAGCTATGTGTAGTATTTGTGTAAACAGTTAGCATTAGATTTCACCAGATTAGAAAAAGCACCAAAAGTTCTTCATGTTGCCTGGCAATTGATAGGTGATTTCCCCTAAAAGATCATTGAAAGTTGTATTTACTAAAGCATTAGGGGTGGGAGGAAAGGAGATACATTTAAATTTGATAGATTCCCAGTGTAGAATGACAGGGTTGTATGAAATTAAACCTTTTTAAAAAATCAAATTTCTGTAAACCATTGCATGTGACATTTTCTAGATAAGATGTACATGTTAAGTGGGGCATGGGGGAGATGTTCACAGCCCAAATGCTTCACTGATTGATGAGTCACTGGTTACTTTAGTTCTTCAAAGATCTGTGAATTTATCATTGTAGGTATCCCCTCCACCAACACAGATGGCCATCCTTCTATGACTATGTCTTCGAGAGTTGCTATGAACAAAATTTTATCAACTTTTGGCCAACCTGGTTATGAACCTCTCCAAAACTTAGCTATACTTATTTTTATGATTAAATTCAATTTTAACTTATTTTCTTGTCTGTATTCTCTCTCACCTTCCCCTTCTCATTGAGAAAATAAGAAAAATAAAACCCATAACAAGCATGTATAGTCAAGCAAAACAAATTCCTGTATTGATCATGTCACAAATGGCATGTATGTATATATGTGTGCATATATATGCATGTACATATATGTATACATATACATACATAGAGTCAAGCAAAACAGATTTCCTGCACTGACC